TTTGGCAACTGCTTTTGATTTGGGGAGCAAGAAATACGATGGCATAGACTAGATTACCTTTGCGGAAGGAATATGTGATAAGCCGAAAGGATGTCCGGGATTTGGAGCTCGTCTTCCTGGATCACGTGAGAGTAAATTAATAGCAGACTTTCTGTGCGCGTGTCTGTTGTTTGTGTGGTGGGATTCACTGTGGTAGTTCTATGCACGCATACCACGGGCCCTGAGCACAAAAATCCCCCCCTCGATCGTCTCCTACCTTCTTAAACCCATTGCAGCAGGGTTCATTGTTCTATTCTCCTGAGTGCTTATAAAATGTCTTTCTGTCCACGCCCTTTGTTTTCCCTCCTCCCTCTTTTCTAATTCATTCCCCCCCCCCACCCGTCCCGTTCCTGTGATCATTTTCCCTAGTGTGCACTGATGGTACAAAGGGTTTTACCGCAGTCTTCTGCACCTGAGTATTCACCCCCTCCATGGCTCTCCATGGAGTGTGACACACCCACTCCTGTATTCCTGTTGCTTTCACCGAGTTTTCGTATGCCATCTCCATACGCAAACACCATGTGCTTCTACGGGATTCACTCTCCAGTACACTGCAGTCCTCGCTTCCCCTCCTCCGTGTACAGCACCACAGTCATCATTATATTCTGTGTCTATGTTGTATTCATTCTGTGTGTATATACACAAACACCCTTATATGCACATACAGGTGTGTGTGTCTATATATAGACACAGGACTGTTACATAGAACTTTGTTATTATGTAGAACTAGAGACCTTGAACTTTTAAAACTAGACTTGCTTATGAAAGAAAATATATCTGATATATATGGCCTCTCTCCTTCTGCACCTGGTTTACATAACAAGATGATCTCTCAATTCACCCACTTTCCTGCAACTATGATCACTTCCTTCTCCTTTATGGCTGACTAGTACTCAATTATGAAGTGTTTATACCACAGTTTACTTATCAGTTGTGGGGCCTCTAGGCTTCCATAGATTACATGCTGTGACACCCTTTCCCCTCACCTTCCCTTGCACGCACTCTAACTTAACATGGGGTCTGTGGTTGGGTATGTGTTCCCCCCTTGTGCACACCATGATGACTGCACCTTTTAATTCCACACCTCCAGCACCCAAAGGTGCTCTCTGAAACTTTAAAGGCAGTCAGTGCAGGAATGAATGAATGAATGTTCACCACCAACAAACTTTCTGGGCTATCGAGGTCACTTCTTACTACTGAGACTAAGTTTAATAAGGAAGTACACCAAGCAAGGAACATTACAAGCATGCTGTTCAATGATTGATCCTCCACTTTGTGCAAAGCTGGGCATTTTGTATGGTTGGAAAGTTCCAGAATAAACAGGTACTCTTTCATGACCGTCCTGAGGGAAGGGGCAGAATTTGACCTAAATCACAATAATCAATAGAAAAATGCATTTGAGTGAAGGGCAGCTGACCACAGCTCTACATTCCTGGCTGTCCCTGCGCATATGTGCATGAAGAACATAGGGACAGCACAGTCAGTGGCCTTTCTGAGGAGCGTTTGCACAGAACAAGGAGCGCTTGCACAGAACGATGGAGAGGCTGATGGTCATTGGATGCTAGCTAATACTTGACAAGGGATGGCTGGAGAAAATTGCTTTCCTGGAATGGAGTGTTGGCTAGTATCCCGAGGGAATGGAGCCTCCTTAGCACACAGCCTTGGCTTAAGTGAGCAATTGAAGCTTGGTGCAGTTCGTTTCCAGAAGCTTCTAGTGAGGGGTGTGTGTGTGTGTGTGTGTTGGGGTCAGGAGCCTTGTGCACATGCTGATGTTGGAGCTTCAGCTCAAGACCTTGAGGTTTCATTTAGCTTTTTAATTTAATTTTATTTTTTGCCAGTCCTGGGCTTGCACGCAGGGCCTGGGCACGATCCCTGAGCTGCTTTTTGCACAAGGAGAGCACTCCACCCATTTGGCTTTTCCACTCAAGGCTGGTGCTCTATCACTTAAGCCACAGCTTTATTTTCCTCATGAGTTCCCCCCCCCTCCCAATCTGTATGAAGGATGTAGATTCCAGGAAAAGAGAAAATAGCCAGAGAATAATTGAGGTGTTAGAAGATAGTGAAGACTCCGAGCAGAATTGACGGATGCAGAGCTGTGCGGATGCAGAATGATGGGGATGCAGAAATGAGAAAAGGCACATCACGGCGAGGAGTGGGCTAGGCATGGAACCGAGCGGAGACAAAGGACAAGGAAAAGGGCAAGGGGTGAGAATAAGCACGAACTGCTCGCGTTGCGGTGTCGCTATAGGTCTTAACAACCCTGAGGCTTCAGTCGGCAAATGCTGGATTCCAAAATGACACCAAGAAAGAGAAGAAGATGAGGAACCACGGGTGTCCAACATGTAGAGAGTAGAGTTGGCTGTACCTTCTTTCTGTGTGTGTGTGTGTGTGTGTCTGTCTGTCTCATCTTTAGTGGCATCCCCTGCTCAGTCATGTGATAAGGTTCCAGTGGTATTTGCCTCCCCAGAAGCCTGGTCCCCTCCGTCCTCATCTGCCCACCCTCGTTTGCCTGGTCAGCCCTTCCCTTGGCGGGAAGCCACAGCTTCCATCCCCGTCAGTCGCAGCTGAGGCCTTTCAAGCTAGGTAAACAGCCGGGGAAGGGTCTGGGCTGGTGACGCCTGCAGGGCGTCCTCTGGGGAGTGCAAGTCCTCCTCAGAGGGGGGCGCGGGGGAGACCGACCGGAGGACCGACGACGGGAACCAGGCCACAGCCCCGCCTCCAGGCAGGGGCGTGCTGGGTTGCGGCGGCGGTGTGCAGGTGGGCTCCCCACAGAGTGGCGCGGACACCATCCTCCTCGCGGGGCCGTGGGGGTCCGCGGTTTCCGCACGGACACATCCGGGCGCCCGGGCCTGGGTCAGGACGAGGCGCAGACTCGGTTCTGGCCCGAGGGAAGGAGAACGCCGTGTGGTGAAGTCTTGTTCCAAGGAAAGCAGCACCATCACCGGAGGAGGTGCGGGTCTGAGGCGCCGGCCCGCAGCCGGCGTGCCCGGCCCCGGCCCGACGCGGCGGGGTGGGGGCGGCGGCCCTGTCAGTCACCGGCCTCCGCCGCCCGAGGCGCGGGTTCGGGACGGCGAGGCGTCGCCCCCAGCCTTTGCACACGGGCTGGGACAGAAGCCATGCGGGAAAGTTCCCAGAAGCCACTGCTGCAGCCTTCGTCTCCCCAAGCTACCCTGACGGGCCCCGTCAGCAGAGCTCCGGGCATTGGCGCCGGCGGCACGTGGTGAGAGGCGGTGAGAGGAAGAAATGGAACCCCGCCCACTGTGGGCCCCACCCACGACAGGCCCCGCCCCGCCCGCTGCAGGCCCCGCCCACGGCAGGCCCCG